AAGGGTGCCCCCGGCCTCCCTGCGGAGGAAGCTCATTTCAGCCGCCTGTATCTGGGATCTTGCCCTTTCGATCATGATACAAAGCTCATGACCATGGGTGATAGTCGGAACGTAGATCGACCAGTAAATCGAGAGCTTCACCATACAGCTCAGCTCCTTCTTCACCACAACGGACCGGTACATCGACCACATTACTGCAGAAGCTGCACCAATCCGCCTGTCAATCTCCTCTTCCATCCTTCCCTCACTCGTGAACAAGACCCCAAGATACTTGAACTCCTCCACTTGAGGCAGGAACTCTCCACCAACCTGAAGGGAACAAGCCACCCTTTTCCGACTGAGAACCATGGCCTTGGACTTGGAGGTGCTGATTCTCATCCCAGCCACTTCACACTCGGCTGCAAACCGCCCCAGTGCACACTGGAGGTCCTGGCTTGAAGGAACCAACAGGACAACGTCATCTGCAAAAAGCAGAGACGAGATCCTGTGGTCCCCGAACCTAACTCCCCTCCGGCCCCTGGCTGCACCTAGAAATTCTATCCATAAAAATAATGAACAGAACCGGTGACAAAGGGCAGCCCTGCCGGAGTCCAACATGCACTGGAAACAAGTCTGACTTACTACCGGCAATGCGAACCAAGCTCCTGCTCCGGTCGTACAGGGACCGGACGGCCCTTAGCAAAGTGCTCCGAACCTCGTACTCCCGGAGCACCCCCCACAAGGCGCCACAAGGGACACGGTCGAATGCCTTCTCCAGATCCACAAAACACATGTGGACTGGTTGGACAAAGTCCCATGAACCCTCCACCACCCTGAAGAGGGTATAGAGCTGGTCCAGAGTTCCACAGCCAGGACAAAAACCACGTTGCTCCTCCTGAATCCGAGGTTCGACTATCGGTTGGATTCTCCTCTCCAGTACCCTGGCATAGACTTTCCCGGGGAGACTGAGGATTGTAATCCCCCTATAGTTGAAACGCACCCTCCGGTCCCCCTTCTTAAAAAGAGCCCTGCTCTGAGCCCTCAGCCTCTGCTTCCTCATCGGAAGACATGAGGCTGTGGTTGAGGAGATCCTCGAAGTTTTCCTTCCACCGTCCGATATCGTCCCCAGTCGAGGTCAACAACTGCCCACCTCCACCATAAACAGTTTTGGCAGGGCACTGCTTCCCCTTCCTGAGGCGCCGGACGGTTTGCCAGAATTTCTTTGAGGCTGACCAATAGTTCCTCTTCATGGCTTCAGCGAACTCCTCCAAGACCTGAGTTTTTGCCTCCACAACCACCCGGGGTGCAGCCCGCTTGGCCTGCCGGTACCCGTCAGCTGCCTCATGTGTC